AATTGACGGAGAATCCTCCCTTGCGTCCCGGGTTTAGGGTAATGTATTCTATTGCCACCACAGCAGACGGGCTGGGTGGCGCGGCGCTAGACGGCCGCAGCGCGCGGGTCCTTCGCGATAGACGGCTTCGGACCTGCGATGCGTCGGGAACCGCGTCGCTGCGGCACGGCTACGCGTAGCACAACGGAGGCCGTGCCTTAGTTTAGCGCTTAGGGTTTAGGGCTTTGGGTTTAGGGCTTGGGGTTTAGGGTTTAGGGTCTTGGATGTTCGGTAGGGGTTCTAGAGTTGTCTATATTGTCTTGGAGGGTTTCGCAGGGTTTTGCAGGGTTTGAGGGTTTAGGCATGAGGGTTGGGCGTCGCGAAGTTTAGGATTCAGGGTGTAGCTTCGACTTTTAGTTGGTGTAGCGTTGCTGGGTGCCTTTTGGGGTTCTTCATTGCTTAGGGTTTTTGGGTGTTGGGTTTTGGGTATCGGGCTGGGGCGCAGAGTTAGGCGTACATGATATCTATGTTTTTTCTCAAGTTTTGAGCTTTACTGCAAAAGCCGACAGGCATACACCCCGATCCATTCCCAGGTTTTCGTGGTCAGGCCTTCGCCGCTTGGCAAGCGCAACCACGTTCCCGCGGATGAGCGAGGCAGGGTTTAATATGTACTATACCTTGTTACAAAAGAATGCCAGGATCCCGATCATAATCCTTATCAGGCAAGAGGGTCTTCATCATCAGATAAACACAAATCGGAACCTCCAAACCCTACACTCCTCAAGCCTAAACCCCATGCAAAGCCTGAGCCCTATGAGCCCTTAAACCCTAACCCCAAATCCCTAAACCCCTAAAGATCTGCGAGGCTGGATCTACTTCGAGCGCCTCGTGTCCACCATAAGAGTCGCCCTGACGGATGAGCAGCCCCCCGATTCGAACTTTTGGGGGTTTAGGGTTTGGGGAACAGGGGTTTAGGGTTTCGGGTTTCGGCATTACGAATTCAGGGTTTCGGGGTTGGGGTTTAGGGTGTAGGGAACAGGCAGGGATTAGGGTTTCGAAAGAAACCCCGAATCCAAAGCCCTACCTCCCAAAGCCCCGAACCCCAAAACCCCACGCCCCAATCCCAAAACCACCCTAAACTCCCAACCCTCAACCCTCAGCCCTATACCCTCTTCTGCGGAGCTCCAAGCCATAAGATCTTGAGGTACGCCGCCCGGACTTGCTACTCCAACATCCCCGAGCTGAAGACCTCTATCCTGAATCGTGCCGCCCTGCTGAGGCACCGGGGCTAAAGCCCCGAATCCCGCCAACAGTCTGAAGCCCTAAACACTAAACGCTCAATCCTAAACCTGAACGCCATAAAATCCCTAAACCCTAAGCCTTAACACCCCTAAACCCTAAACCCTAAACCCTAAACCCTAAACCCTAAGCCTTAAACCACAAACGCTTCATCCTAAACCTTCGACCTTTAAGTCCCTAAACCCTAAGCCTTAAACCCTAAGCCCCTGAGGCGCACAGCCTCCACCAGCAACGCAGCCCTGAAGCACCAGTTCGAGACGTACATCTCGGAGATCAAGTTCCCAATCTTCGTTTTCATCGTGGTTTTCTTATTTCCATAATTAATGTACGAATCATAGGCAAGAATGGGATGTTTTCAGGCTTCAGGATGTTACAGCGGCTTGAAGGGTGTCTTCAAGGCTTTCTATACAGGTTCCTATACTCAGGACAAAGCAAAGCACCATACAAAAGCGCTCTAAAATGAAACAACGGCCCCCAACCCCAAATCCAAACAGCCAAAGGAAAACACAAGATCGAATATTGGTATCAACATGCCAAATCAGTTTGAACGACACGAGCCAAACAGCAAACCCTAAATCCTGAACCCAGGACGAAGACCTTTGCAGCCACCTCTCTGGACAAGAAGAAAGCCTCGGCTGCCACGAAGGTTTCTCGGAATGTTTTGCATATTGAGGTGCTTTCTGTAGCTACTAGAACAGTTGTGCTTTCTCTTGATGTTAATAAGATGTTATGAAGATTAATATCATTGTCGCTATCGTAGCTGCCATTATTACAATTATCACCATTGCTGCCTGTTGAGAGAGCTCTGAAACGCCAGGATCCTTAGAATCAACAGCGCCAGACCCTGAACCCAAAGCCCTAAATCATCCTAAACCCCAAAATGTCCCAACCCTGCCGTCTTACCTTTACCCTAAACCCAAGCCTTGCAACTCTCGAGCCTCATCCTTACCCCACCGGAGTCGAACGCCTAAACCCTAAATCCTAAACCCTAAATCCTAAACCCTAAACCCTAAATCCTAAACCCCAAACTCCAAACCCTAAAGCCATCAGCAAGATCTAAGCAACTTCGTAACCCAAAAGCCCTGGAGTCCTAAGCCCTGAGTCCCTGAAGCCCCAGCCCCTCGGTGTGCCTTAGATGCCGGGCTCCTAGCCATAGCAAGAACAGAATTCAAAACGCCCTAGAATCCTAGAGCCCTAGCCCCGACACCCCAGCCTGAACGCTCAAGTCCGTTACATATATACTCATATACAGATAGATAGCTAGCTAGCTAGCTAGATGGATGGATGGATGGATAGACAGATAGAGTTATAGTAACAGGTTCAAGACGTGGATTTGGTCTTCCAGCTCCTCGGTGAGATGCGCTGCCGGGTATCCTTGGCCTTGGCGTTCACGGCAACTGGGCTCTTGAGTAATATAGGGGCCTTAACAATTACCCATATTATTTTGGGGGTTCCTTATTGTAATTATTAAGAGTATACTATACCCCAAAACCCTATTCTAATTATGAAGGCCTCTATATTGGTGCCGTTGTCTGTTCCGTGCTCGGGGCTGATTTATTTTGGTTACTAAAATACTGCATCCCTTTTTTCGGTCTATTTGCTACTAACAGGCATGGAATGGAAGGTTAGACTCTTTTTCCTTTATAGGCAACCCCTAAACCCTTGAACTCTATCCCCTAAAGCCCTAAACCCTAAACCCCTGAACTCTAAACCCTAAAACAGGTGAGATCCCTCAGCATTGAGGACTGCCGAGAGCTTGTTGAGGCCAAGGCAGACCTGACCATCCAGGATGGCCGGGGATACACGCCCCTCCACAACGCCGTGAGGTGGGATGTAGGGGTCCTGGGTCTCGCATTGGGGGTTTATGGATTTGCGTTTGGGTTTAGGGGTTTAGGGTGTAGGGGTTTGGGGTTTAGGGGTCAGGGGTTTAGGGTTTGGGGTTTAGGGCTTTAGGGGTTTGGGGGTTCAGAGTCCAGCGGTCACGGTTTGCAGTTTAGGGTTCAGGGTTCAGGGCCGGGGTTCGTGGTTCATTGTTCAGGGCTTTGGGTCCTTAACAATTCGAGCAGGGTTTAGGGTTTAGGGTTTTGGTACCCCTAGTTTGTTGGTGTTGTACAATGAGAATATGTTGCCACACAAACGTGGTATTGTTACTCTTTCGCTCATTATTTTCAGTCGTAGGTACATGTACGTGCCGTTGCATAGTATTGCTTCAAACTCAAAATGCTGGATTTGCGAAAAGACCTAGCAAGTAGGTGATGCGTAGGGCTCTTGCTCAACTGGGGTATCTAACCGCCTTGCTCCAGCATCCCTAAACCCTAAACCCGAACCTTAAACCCTGAACCCTTAACCCTGAATCCATGGTTCCCCGAAAGCAGGTTCCGCAACGTGGAGACGGTCAAGTTTCTGCTTGAGAGTGGTGCGCGCCAGAGCCTCCGCGACAAGCTTGGCAACACCTGCTTGCACGTTATCCCGCTCTACGCGGATGAGACGACCCTGCAGCTTTGCCGAGTGCTCGGCGAAGATCCGGTCTCCGGGCTATACTGCCAGTTTGGTTTGCCCCCGGCGCCTATGTAATATAGGGGCCTTAGTAGTCACTTATACTATTTTGGGAGATTCCTTATCATTATTATAGTATAAGATACCCCAAAACCCTATTCTAATTATTAAGGCCCCTACATTACAAGGAGAACGCCCGAGCTTAAATCCCAAAGACGGAAGCATTGACCGCCTTTTTCTCTGGAAACCCTAAACTCGATAAATCTCGAAACGCTAGGCCCAAGCGCTAAACCCGAGGGTTTAGGGTTTGGGGTTTATAGTTTAGGGCTATAAACCCTAAACCCCCAAAGCCCTAAACCCTAAATCCCGAAAAACCAAAAAGCCCTAAACCCTAAACCAAAAAAGCCCAAAGCCCTAAACAGCTAAACCCTAAACCCCAAAAAACACCAAAAAGCCCTAAACCCTAAACCCGAAGCACCCCCAAAGCCCGAAACCCTAAACCCCACAAAACCCCAACCCTAAACCCCCAAAAACCCCAAAGCCCTAAGCCCTAAACCCCAAAAAACGGGCCCAAGCGAACCAGCAGAAGCGAGCTCGGTCCAAGGCCCACTTGCAGAAGAAGAACCGGGCAGGGCTCCAGGCGCTCTGAAATCAAAAAGTTTGGGGTTTTGGGTTTTTAGGGTTTCGGGGTTTTAGGGTTTTAGGGTTTAGGGTTTAGGGTTTAGGGTTTAGGGTTTTAGGGTGTATGGCGTCTGCCTGCGTGGGGCTGAATA